ATATCTGGTACCAGAGAAGAGTCACTTAAAGTGAATCCATGTAAAATGGAGACCAAATTTCACAGTAAAGAATGGGAAGTGAAAATGTTTGATTAGCACTATATTTGAAGAAAAAGAAAATAATTTTACTTGATATTTTATCAAATTTTGGTAACAGTATATTTCATGGGAAGGGATATTTAGGTTAGATCCTAAAATTCATGTCAAAGTCTAAACGGTCAAGAATAGCCAAGACAATTTTGAAGAAAAAGGCTAAAAGGGGAAGATTTATGACAACACTTTAATAATTAAATGAAAATGGTATTAGTTCAGGAATCATTAAAAGAACAGAGTGAAGAAACAGATCCAAAAATATAACAGAAATGATATATGACAGAAATAGCAACAACAAAATAAGAAATAGTTAAATATTCATTAAATAATAATGGGATAGTTTTCAATATGAAAAACAATTAGATCCCTGCCTCACACTATACAGAAATATAAATTTCAGATGAGTTTAAAGATCTAAAAGTATTACCGAGTATAAAATAGCAATGCATAGAAAATAAAACTTGAAAACCCAGATATGTACATTTTAAGAACTCTAAGGGAAATGGAAAGTAAAAGAGCAGTGAAATACATTTCTGATTAACAAATTAACCAAAATTAGACCATCTGGTTAATTTTGGATTAACTCAAGGATATGAGGATCCAAGGAACTCCAACAGAGAGCTAGTGGGAGTGGTTAAGTGGCATACAACTCAGAGGGCAATTTGCAAAACCTAGCAGGGTTAAAATAACAGACAGATGTTGATGCAAGAGTATCCTACTACCCAGTTATTCAGCTTCTGGAGGCATACACCCTAGACACCCTCATGTGTGTTTCTACAAGATCTTATCAAGGATACCCCTGCAATCCTGTTTATAATAGCAAAAGGTAAAAACTTCGTTTTGTCCGTCAGTGGGGATTATTTCATCTCTGGGATATCCAAGAAATATTACATCTACAATTATCAACATATGTAATCAACACATGTCAAAAACAATACTGAGTGAAAAAAGGCAAATCACAAAAATAAATGACAGGCCTCTATGTACCTAAAACTTTAAACATGAAAGAAAACTACACATGATGGGCATACACACAGTCCCAATGTTACAGGCTGTGTGGACTCAACCCCAAATTCCCAACCTTCAGTGTCTGAATTTCCCTCTTGCTCAGCGGAGAATTTTCTCTGTGTGGCAACCTCATACTTAGTCTAAGTAGCTACTAAATGTAAAGTACTGTGCTAGGTGCCAGGGAGGACTAAAGAAATATGCAAGACTCCCTTTTCACCCTACAATTCAGCTAGGGAGAATTGCCTCAATTCTGAGAGAACAGCCTCAATCCTCGCTCTAGGTCCCATAGAGTATACACTTAGAAAGAATGCTTTCTTTTCTTTCTTTTTTAAAATATATTTTTATTGATTTCAGAGAGGAAGGGAGAGGGAGAGAGAAACATCAATGATGAGAGAGAATCACTGATCGGCTGCCTTCTGCATGCCTTCGGCTGCCTTCTCGATCCCCAGCCCACGACCCGGGCATGTGTCCTGACCGGAAATCAAACCATAACCTCCTGGTTCATAGGCTGATGCTCAACCACTGAGCCACGGCGGCCAGGCAAGAGTACTTTATTTTCAAGGCCCAGTTACTTCATCTATAAAATGGGAAATCCACCTTCCTCCTACTGTGAAGATTTAATTAATATTTACACAGTGTCTAGCATATGGCAAATACCCAACACTAAGCAAACAGAGGCATGGCAGCCATGACATGAATACAATCATCTAAACCAGTGGTTCTCAACCTTCCTAATGCCTCGACCCTTTAATACAGTTCATGTTGTGGTGACCCCCAATTTCATTGTTACAAATTGAACATAATTAAAGCATAGTGATTAATCACAAAAACAATATGTAATTATATATGTGTTTTCCGATGGTCTTAGGCGACCCCTGTGAAAGGGTCATTCGACCCCCAAAGGGTCGCGACCCACAGGTTGAGAACCGCTGATCTAAACAGCATCTGAGCCACACTGACAGGAAAATGGAAAGCGATGCACAGGAGAAGGGCACTGGCTGGGTTCTCTTGGCTTTCCACAGCCTGGTACAGCATCCTCACCCCCCTGAGGGTTCCCCTGGCAACGTGGCCCCCATGCTGAGGACACCATAGGGCATTTCTTCCAGCAGCAGTTTGGCTGCAACCCAGGCCTATTTATTCTGCAAGTTCACCGTGGACAGTGCTCTGTGAAAAGAGCAGCCAGCTCCAGGAAAGAGAGCACCTTCTCTCATGCCTGTGGGGAACTCTGGGGTGAAATGACAGCAAAAGCACCATAACTACACCTAAGTCAACTTCTCAGCTGACCCTCCTTAAAGTTCCAAGGACATACTGCAGCTCCGCATCACTAAAGAGAAGGCAATAGTACAGGGGTGGGCAAACTTTTTGACTCGAGGGCCACAATGGGTTCTTAAACTGGACCGGAGGGCCGGAACAAAAGCATGGATGGAGTGTTACTAAAGAGAAGGCAATAGTGTCTCGGCTCCACCTGCCCCAACCCACAGGCCACCCTCCTGACGCTGGGATAGCGTTCTGTCCATGAACTCAGCAGGCACCAGAGGGGAGGCCTGCCTGCCCGGCACTGGGAACACGACAGTGTTTGGAAATCACTTTGGGAGATTCCTCTCAGAGGGCTTGGGAAAGGATGGTGGGCATTTCAGTTCTCCTGCCAAGGTGGCGCCAACCATGTGGCAACAGCACAAACAGCTCTCAAGTCACAGCCTTGAAATTCTGCGATTTTCACTAATTTCCAACCTTGAGGAACTCAAATCATTTCCATTTTTATGTTTCAAGTGAGAACTCGTTCACATATTTTATTCATTCATCTTTTATTATCACATGCTTTCAGATCTTCATTTTTCAAATGCACTCTATGAATAAACCAGCCTCCATTTATCAACGTTGGCACTGTGATATCTGGGACCCAGCTGGTTGCACCACCCAAGAACCAATGACCTGGGTGTTGCCGGGACACTCATTTCAGAGTCTGAACTGGCTTAGGTATAGCTACCTTTGGTTTGTACACATTTAAAAAGGAGGTAGAAAATCATCTAGCAGTTTCATTTTTGCTTTGAAACTCTGATAAAATAAAAATAATAGTCATGAAAATAAAACTCGCCTGACAAAACTAAGCGGGGTGGTGGTTACCCTTGGGTGATAGTGCCTGTAGGGGTAACCGGAAGACTGGGAACATTCTAGCTCTTCATCTGGTCGCTGGTCCCACAGGTGTGCTCAGTTTGTGACACTCCATTGACCTAATGTTAAAACGAACGCACCCAGGTCTGGCCAGTCTTCTGTCCGTAAATGGCCCTTGTGACTGAAGTCTGAGTAAACACAATAATAACCAGGAAGGCTAAACCGGAGGGGGCGGGGGGAAATGCTCCGTTCTCCATGAGGTATTTCAGTCTGTGAATCAACTGCACGAAAGGCCAAGGCCACAGATGAAGGCTCCTCGGTCCCTCTGGGCAGGGAGAAAGGAGACCGGGCACAGTCTATGCCACTGTTAGTTTAAATTGCCATGGCCAGGAAAGGAGTAACCGGAAGATGGAAAGTCCTATTTCCAAAGTCTTACCAAACCGAATTTCCCTGGAAAGAAGGACTTTTAGATCTGTAAATCGGGTCCTAGAGGCTGTTGTAAAATTCCTTTAAATTGCCTCCACTTCCACCCATAGTTCAGTTCCTCCTGGACCATCTTCCTTCCACTTTTACATCTATTGCGTCCCCTGACCCCCCAACTGCCTTGGGGAGACTAAAAGGCAGGAATTGTTCCATTTTACAGATTAAAAAGTTGAGACTCAAAGATGTTTGTCAGACTTCACAAAACTAAGTAGTCATCTCATCGCTCACTGAGTTGGGGCAAGGCAGACTGAGTTGGAGAAACGGGGTGATAACCTCCAAAGAGGAGGGGCAACCCTCTCCCCTGCCCAGTTCTGAGAACCACCCCCAGCCCCACAGGAGCTGCCTCAAGGATCTGGAGTAAAAGACCCGCACCTGACACCACTGACCCATCCTGAGGCCGGACGCCACCATCCCCTGTGAAAGGTGAAGCATCCAGATCAGGGTGGGGAGAGGGAGCAGAAATGAACCGAAACTCAAGGCATTTCCTAAAAGCTGATGGGAGCCAGGAGCTTTTCTTAGGAAGTCACTGGGCCCAGACTGGTTTGTGCGGTTCGAGTCCCTTGGATACCGTATCCCCAGGGCACAGGGCTCATCCGGCAGGAGAAGGAGCAGACACCTAGCAAATTCTCCTAACCCTGCCGAGACGTTAGCAAATTGACCGGTAATGGAGACGATGCTGCAGATACCGCAGGTCCAGGGGTTCCCATCCCGAAGGTCCCCCGCGGGGTGCCTGAGGATCAGCTCCTGACCTCTCCAAATAAGGCGGAGTTGGGGGGAGGGAGTATGAGGAAGAGACTGAGGTGAAGCTGAGGTGACCCCCCCCCCCCCACCTTCTTCCCTGCAACAGCGCGCCCCTCTCCAGGCAGTCCGGGGACCCGACCAGGGCAATCGAGTCAGATTCCTACTCCGTGCACCAGCCGTGACCTTGAACGAGTCCCAGGTTATCCCATTTTACTGAAATTAAGAGTCCGAAAGAGTCGAGTCAGCTGCGTGGGGCTGATTCGGACGCTTACCCGACGGTTTAAGGCGCCCCGCGGGCGCGCCCGCAGCGTAGTAGGTGCGCGGTGAACCGCAGCCCGAGAGCTACGTGGCCGGCGGGGGGGGTCCCCACTCTGCAGCGACGCCCTAGCAAGTTCACTCCCGCCGCCCAAGCCCCTCCGCAGAGGCGCAATGGCCTGGCAGGGACCCTGGATCCGGACCCGCACGCGGTGTGCCACACACCCACCCTCGAAGTTGCCGCAACCTAAGAGAGGCAATGGCGCAAAGCCGCGGGAGAGGAGGGGTGGGGAGGGGCCGGTACTCACGCGGGGTAGCCAGGCTGGAGCAGGTCCCTG